TTTTAATTTTGATATATATATATATATATATATATATATATATATATATATATATATTATTTAAGGTTGAATTAAATGTAAATGAATATTATCAAAGTGAATATCTAATTTTGATTGGAGAGACTAATTGATCCTATGAACCTATACACAAATTTTATTTGTTTTTTTTTTATATATATCTTTTTTCAAAATAATGCTATATGGCTATTTCTTTACTTTTTGTATTAAAAAAAAAGAAATATGCCTATATCTTTCTTCTACCTTATAAAAAAAGTCATTAAATAAAAATCTGAATATATTCAAAATCTCAATAGTATAGAATAAATTGGATACGTATCACATAATAAAATAAAATAATTAATAGGAGGATTTTGTATTTGGTAATATGGAGGAGGATTATTTAGAATTTTATGTCTTTATTCATCTTTTGTCAATAATATGAATGAAAAGTAAATATTTACGAATATATTTGGATATAAGTGTCAATCGATAGTTTTCTATTTTATTCTCACTCCATTTTCTCTTATCTTTTTCCCTTTTAATATATGATGTGTCACATTATTACATTGATAATTTGTTCTCTGTATATTTTTCCCTGTTCATCTTATCTCTATCGACAACTAGTTGATTTTCCTTCTAATATTTATTTTGTTAATATTGCTAGATAATTGACAGGAAGTTTGAGGATTCTGAAAATTGTGAGAAAATAATAGGAAGGAAATTAAATTATTTAATAAAATCAAAAAAGTTACATGTTACATGAAGTATCAATATCATAAATATAAATAATAATGATTTGTATTTCTTAATTAAATCATTTTAAATTTAAATATTAATCATAAATATGAAACAATTGTGAGAAAAATACTCACCTTATTTACATTTACGGTCACCATTAGATTCTTCATAGATTTTATCCCACTTAGAAGTTCCCTTGAAAATAAAAGTTTAGTTAAATTAAAAATTTCCTCTTTTCTCTACCAACCATGATATGAGGTAAATGACACCAAAGGGTTCCTTTCATCAAGGAAAATAGTTTAAGATTTATGTGACTTTACACGCACGTATAAGCAGATTATTCCTAGGAGTTTTGTGATTAAACATGTGGAAGAGTATTATCAAACTCTTCCAAATGGTACTAAATGGGGAGTACATTGGACAAAACGTGACCATGATGTTTGGTTTCGGAAAGGTTGCGATAGATTTAGACAATTTATTCCCTTAGTAACGTGCACTTCCTAATTCAGGGAGGATTCAATTTCAAGTTCTCATATCTAATTAAAGTGTTTTAGAAATAAACTATCATAACAAAAAAAAGTTGCACACATGATTGTGAAAGAACCAATAAACCTGATGAAGATGCTCAATGAGTGATTATTGTGTCTCTACTATTCTCACCGCATAAAAAATTGAAAAAAATTCAATATAGGTAGGTTAACTTTTCAATGAATGCTACCATGAACTACCTTTATAAGTAATTTACAATGTATCATTCTCATTAATCACAAGATGTATCTTGCATACAAAATAATAATGTACACTCTCAGCAGCAACTGATTGCTCTTATTTTATTTTATCTTTTTCTTCTCTATTGCTATTTTTCTTCTTTGACGTCTATAACATTTAACTCTGTTGGACTTATTTTACGCCTTCTTCATCATTAAGTATCAAACAAATTTTTTGTTGTTGAAGAAAAAAAACAACTATTTCTTTTCAAGTTCGGTCTCTTTTTTTTTTTTTAGTTAGTGACGTTGCACTTGGTGAGACAAAGCTCGCCCTCAACACAAAGAAGTTAGGGATTTTCAGTTGCATTCATGCTCAAAAATAGGGAAGTTTCAAATTTATCTATACAACTTCAAAAAAAAGGTAAATTGTATAACACCCTATTTTTTAAAGATGATAATATTTTTATATTATTATATTTTGGTCAAAAATATTTTTATTATTATAGGGGGAAAATATTTTATATTATATATTTAGTTATTCATTTAATTATTTTGGGGAAAAGAGAAATGAGTTGAGAAGAAAAGGAAAATGGGTTGCGTTGACCTGACTCAGTGAATTATTTTTAAAAAGGGATCAGACAAAGTTAACTCTATCTGCCTCATTTTGCGTTCTGAAGGGTTAGGAGAGAAAGAAAAGAGAAGAAGGAAGCTCTGAGAAGGAGTGCTCAAGGGGCAATTCTAACTACATCAGAATTGTTCTTATTGAGGCAACAAGATATGAGGGGAAAAAGGGAGCGTTTCATATGCGTGGTTACAGGAGGGAATGGGTAGAGGGAGAAGTCCCTAAAATTCTTAAGATTTTCTAATTCATTTTTATTTATGAGTTTGATAATTTAATTAATTTATGTGTAAATGTATGGTTATAATTTAGGTACTATTTGATAAAAGCTGATGTTCTATTTGATAATTTAATCCTTTTAAAATGCCTCTTGAGTTAGGATTTATGAGGGATTGAGATTTTGTTGATTGATATGTTGTTTTGTAAAATTGATGATTTAATCGGGTTTTATATTGATTTATAAATGTGGTTTATTGTTTGGTAAAATTGATGATCTAGATGATAATTGAATTCATTAGGATGTGTTTTGTAAGGTAGGATTCTTGTAGATTGACGAACAACCTTAATTATATGAATTGATGAGTAATTGAGAGATTTTACTTGTGGATGTATCTTAGTATTTTTTTAATATCTTTCTGTATGATTAACCAAATCAAGTTTCATTTGTTGGGTTAGAAAGTAGACACTTGGGGCTATAATTTAGACTCTATAATCGTGTAAAAATGTTAAGTATTGATTGAGTTATACGAGTTGTAAGTCTAGTCTCCATTCTAGTGCGCAAAATATTAAGTTTTATTTTGTTAGTCATGCGAGATGGCCTTAACAATATTTTTAGTCTTTTTTTCCTCACAAAAGTTGTAGCCTTGGGTGTTATCTTTCGAATAGCATTGGAATCACTCAAAAAGGATGTGTATAACTCAAGTTATGGTCAAAATAGTGAGTAAATATCAAACTGTCAGGATTTAGAGTGCCCGACACGGGTATTCTATTTCAATTTGCGTTTTTGACGTTTTGGGGCCCTTTTTTTTGGTATGTTTATGATACTTTATTATTTCTTAATGATGCTTTATAATACTTATGATATGATTGAATGATTTTGATGTGGGATTGTGAAATATGGTATTATCTTGATGGATTTTGATGATGATTGTGAATTGTATAATGACTAGTGATGACTATTGTATGAATAGATATAAATAGTGCGTATTTGGTTGAGTATATTTGAGTATGAATAGTTTGTATTTGGATGAGTGATATATAAATGTGGTTCTATGCAAATGGTTAATAAATCTTCATTAGCATGAATGAAGATGAGGAATGGATTTGGTGGTATGGATTGACCATAGATAGACGCATATGCATTAATTACCCTGGCTTGTGTGGTGATTAACATGGAATGTATAATATATATGTATAATTGCCTTGGCCTGTGTGATGATTAACATGGGATGTATGTTATACTTATATATCCATTGTCCTATGTGGTGTTTAACAGTGGGGAAGTGCGTGGAAGTACTTGAGGGGAATGATAAGGTTCGCCTATTGTGTGACGCTCCGAGTCAATGCTTCTTAGGAGGTTGTAGTGCATGAGCATTGGTGTGAGCATGTTCATGGTGAATAATTATGTTGGGATATGATGATAGACTTGGAAGGCTTTGGAATTGATAATATGATGTGAGATTTATTGATATGTTTAATTATATATTTTTGGACCAAGTTGTAACGGATGAAATTTCTTCTTGTAACTTGCATGTGAACGCTTGCTTTTCTCACTGTACTGTTTATGGTTGTTTTAGGTGAGAATGAACTGGATGTGGATGACACTAAAGATGCTGAAAGTTAAAGTATGGGTGGCTCTGATAGGGTGACATCAGGGAAATGGGTTAGATTTGGAGTTTATTTCAGTTGGACATTATGTTTTTTTTGTTAGATACAATTGTAAAGTTTCTATTTTATAAACTTTGTTTCAAATTGGTTGGATGTTTAGGAGTGTTTTATATGTGAATCGTTTTACGCAAGATAAATGACTTTCTTCCTTATTTTAATTGTATTATATGTCGGGTAGAATGAGTGTCAGAGATTGTAAATTTATTTTTCAAGTTAAAATATCAACCAAATTATTTTAAAAGTTGGGACAGATGAAATTTTACAATGAATGAAACTTTAAAGTTAATAGTAACTAAAACAATGCATATATTTAATTATTTAAAAATAAATAAATTTCATAACTTATATTTCAAGGTATAATTTTATAAAATTTAATTTAAAAATAAAAAAAATAGTGAATTCAAGAAATTCTTCAAATAGATTTTGAAATAACAAAATATCAAAATTACAAAAAAGAGATAATTAAAGTAAAATGTACATAACAATTTCTAATACATTGACATAAATATAAAATTTAATTTTTATTTTCTTTTATATAAATTTTGTTTTTCTTGCAACTAAATGAAGAACAAGAATGCAATTAAAGAAAACAATAACTTTTAGAAGTTCTTGATGAATAAAAAAAATTTATACTAATTGTTGATCTTTTTCAAATTAATGATAACTATATAATAATAATAATAATAATTATTATTATTATTATTATACTTGATGGGTTTGAATATAAAAAATATTTAATTAAATTTTTCATTGTTATTATGAGATTTTTTTTTGTAACAAATAAATATGAAATCAATTTTAATTAAAAATCATAATTATAATTATTTTAATTGTTATAACATCACCAATAATTATAATAGTAACAATTCACCGATAACGTTAAATATATATTTAATAAATAAAATAGAAACACAATTATTAACTCAATTTTAAATGATGTACCAATTTTTACTTTTGCAATTATAATCTAACTAGATGAAATTAATATTAATTTTTTTTATAAAAATTACTAGTTGTAAACTAATTTTTATTAATATTATGAATTATTTTTGTTGATGAAAAAACCAATTTGATTTTTTCATAGTTTTCATAATTTTAATATTAATAATTTATGTTATGAGATTCATGAATTAAAAAAAGTTATATTGCTTAAGTATCTTTAATATCTTAAAAATAATATTCAAAGGTTTTTAAAAATAAATGCTTAAACTAATATTTTTTTTAAAGAATATCTTAGTTTCTTTCATTTGGATTCACTTTAAGAAAATATATAGAATATTATAATTTCTTTTTATTTTTTATTTATTTTACGTAATATAATCATTCTTATTATCTCTTACATTGATAAGAAACTATTATAGAAAAATATTTTACACTTCTTAAATATTTATATCTCTTATCTTTTGTCTTCATAATAATTTTTTTTTATAATTGTATGGTTTGACTTCATTTTGGAGGTGCTGGTGAATATCAATTTTCTTATATTTTTTTGAATCATTCAAAATTATTCTCTTTTATGAATAAATATTTTTAAATTTTCTTTGTAATTTAAAGTAATATATTTATTATTTTGTTATTAATGTTTATAATATTAATTTATTGCTGAATGTACCATTTTATGTATATATTTTGTTATTAAATTTATTATATCTTTCTTCTTCAATTTTTTTTTCATTATACATTGTTTTCAAAATATATTAAAAGTTTTTATTTTTCTTTATAATCTTCATTTGTAAAGTTTAATTTAACTAATTGTTACAAACCACATCCAATAAGAAAATATTGTACATGCATTACATTAGTATAGACAATAGTTGTGATTTCATGAAATTATATATTTGATATGTAATTTTAATTTTAAAAGTTTCAAATTTTGTAATTTAAAATTTAAAATTCAAATTTTAAATTATGATTTTATCTACAATTCAATGTAACAAATGAAAACTAGGATTTGAATTTTTAATATACTAGTTACAAATACAACCAATGCACAATGTATCAATTGTTACTAAATATATAAAAATATGTTGATATAAATATAAATTGTGGAGAAAAGATAGTGAATGTAAAAAATTCAACTTTTCGCAACAGAGTGAAATAGTGTCTACAACAGACGTAGTGCTGGAAGAGTAATCAAAAGAACAGTGAGAAATTATATTGGTTCGTCTCAAACACAGAAACTACATCCAATTCTCAATTCAACCAAATTGAGTTCCATTAAATTTCTCAAAGTTACAAATATTCCTTCTCAAGCCACTTATGGTTCTATAACAAGTGTTCTTTGACTAACCTCTTCAAGTCACTACCCATGTATTCTTTTACAGTCAAGTCTTTTCAAGGTATTATAAGGTTGTTACAATTGTCTCTTTAAAACGTGAATACAAGGTTTTGGTACAAAGATTCTACAAGGCAAAAGCTATACAGAAGAAATGTGTTTATGTCTATGAATGTCCTTGTATTTCAATTAAAAAGCTTTCTATTGCCTTGATCTTCAACACTTCTTATATAGTAGTTTTGGAGAAGATGACCATTGCAACTTCTTAAGCCTTGTTCACAGATTTGCTTCACCTTACTTCATCGTCCGATCAAAGTGAGAGAAGAATTATTTGTTGATGTATTAAATGCATTAATTAATGTTTTTTCATAAAAATGATTTCTTATCTTGATCAATCAAACTACTTATCGGAGTAGAGCTACAAACGAAAGCAAGGTTAGTGTGAAACAAAGAAATAATGTCTTTTTCGCGAGATTCAGGATCTCTGTCCTTGGTTTCGATGCATAACATGCTTTTGATCTTTTTTAATATAGATTTTGAGTTCTAAGATGAATTTTTTCGACTTGTTAAGGTATAAAACATTCATTTGAATTTCAAACATGTCGGTAACCATAAATGATAAATGTTAAGTGCTTCAAGACACACTTGTATGCTTTATCTTATAGATAATACTTCATGTTATTAATTATGAATAAGCATCTACAAAGACATTTTCATCCTAAAAGATGTAGTGTCTGTTATCATTAAAACTTATAAATTGAGAGATCCAAGATCATCTTTTGACTTATGAACATAACATATGGATTCAAATGTGCTTATAACATATAATAAACATAATTACATAAATATATTAAAGAAACAGGAGTAAACAATAGAAGGAAGATTGTATAATATATAATAGATTTTACCTCTTTTGGCGTTTAACCTTATCCTTTATCTTGTAATCCAAAGATCTATGAAGGTATAATGGCTATAAAATAATGAACATGTAAATTATTAGAATTAGAGTACAACATACAATAATATTATCTTTAAAGGAAATTAGGAGATCAAGAGATAGATACCAATCACAAAATCAACCCTATAACTCATGTAATATATCCCAATAAAGTCATAAATAATCACATAAAGCATAATTTACAATAATAGATGTGTACTTTTTTTCTTTAGCATGTTGTTGAAGAAACTTATAGAACTCAAAAGGCTTTGAATAAATTGAAAAACTTCACTTCCAATCATCTTCATATTTTGGTTGAACTTGTGCAGCAAGTAAATGCTTCACATCATCTTCAGGTTTTGGTTGAACTTGTGCAGCAGGTGAAGGCTTCACATAATCTTTAAGTTTTTCTTGAACTTGTGCAACATGTAAAGGCTCCAAATGCAAACAGATATTAGAATTTGTTATATTGCACCACTTTTGGAGTATTTTCCATTGGAAAGAAACTTACCTTTCATAAGCAACAATATGAACTTTTGGCATTGTTGTTGAAGGCCTCAGGTAGGCATGTGTAACATTTACCTAAACCTTGAAGTATGTGAAATTTTTTGAAGAAACCTACAACGAAAAACAGTGCAAGAAATCTTCTAAACCATTAAGTTTAACTCAATCCTACAAAATCGTGAAAATAGGTGAATTCAAGTGTTTCTTCAAATATATTTTGAAATAACAAAATATCAAAATTACAATAAAAAAGATAATTAAGCTAAGGTGTACACAACAAATTTTAATACACTTTGAGATATAAATATAAAATTTAATCCTTACTTTTTATTTAAATATTATTTTGCTTGCAACCAAATAAAGAAGAATAATGCAATAAAAAGAAAAAATAAATTTTAGAAGTTCTTGATGAATGAAAAGAAAATTATATTGATTATTGGTACTTTTCAACAAAAAAAACTAATGAAAACTGTATTTTTTATTATTATAATGATACTTAATGGATTTGAATACAAAAAAAATATTTAATTAAATTTATCATTGTTATTATGAAATTCTTTTTTGTAACAAATAAATATGAAATCAATTTTGATTAAAAATCATAATTATAATTATTTTTTTTATCATTATAACAACAATAACAATAATAATATTTGTATATTCAAAATAGTAAATTATTATAGTAACAATTTATTGATAACTTTAAATATATATTTAATATAAATAAAATAGAAACATAATTATTAACGCACTTTTAAATAACATACCAATTTTTACTTTTTCAATTAATAGTCTAAATAGATAAAATTATCATTGTTTTTATAAATTTAATAGTTATAAAATGATTTTTATTAGTATTATGAATTATTTTCGTTGACAAACAAACCAAATTGATTTGTTCATATTTTTCATAACTGTAACGTTGATAATTTATGTTGTTATGAGATGAATCGATTAAAAAATTTATGTTACTTAGATATCTTTAATATCTTAAAAATAATTTTCAAAAGGTTGTCAACAATAAATGTTAAAACAAATAATTTGGTTTAAATATCTAAATCTCTTTCATTTGGATTCAGTTTAAGTAAATATATAAATATTACAATTTCTTTTTTATTTTTCATTTGTTTTACCTTACGCAATTGTTCTTATTATTTTTTAATCAATATGAGACAGTTATGAAAAATTGGTAAACACTCCTTAGATATTCATATCTCTTATCTTTTGTCTTCAAAATAAT